CTCATTTGTGCAAAACAAGATTCGTTCTTTCGTAAAACCGCACGGTTCAACCCAAGTCATGTGAGAACAGTAAAATCAAGATCTATCTGAAGCTATATAGGTTCCAGGCTGCGAAGCAAAAGAAAAGAGGGAAAATTGGAGCATTTGAGTTTGTTTCAGTTTCCGTGATTATACTCTCCGTTATTATACTCCAGATGTACCTCTTCAGGCCTTGTCAATGCTCCGAAGTATGAGTGTGCCTCTACTCCCAAGCTCAAGGCTACTTCAATGCCAGAATGGCAATCGAAGTGCTCCCTCAGAAAACCAGCCCCTGCCAAATGTATCTTGGCTGTGTTTGCAATGAGTTCCTAGGTGACCAACTGCGACGGTGGAAACTAGAGTTCGGACGGCTATTGCCTAGAACGCAAAGGTTCGGAATTTCCGAGACTAAAGTCTGGTTTAAATACCCAGGGGTCTATCCTCGGCTTGAAATCTGTATGGCAGCCCCATAGATTGAGATAGCATGTGAATGCGCCTCGATTCTGGATACTGAATCAACCTAGTCTGTCACCCCGTTGGAGAATAGGGAAAGTTGTGAACATAACCAGGAAGGAAAGGTAGTAACTGCGGTTTGGAAGTACAGTCAAGAAAGTGCAAGAAGAACCCACTCTTTTCAGCTCAAAAGGTTTCTGCGGAATTTTCAACTCATGACTTCGATGTGTAGCTCATCGTCGGTTGGTATGCACGAGGTGTATCCTTTTTGGAATGTATCATGACCCCTCCGAGAGGTAAATCGGAGGTTGCGTTTGGAATTTGGTCTACTTAAGGCTTGTATTCCCTTATTCGGTATTTTTGTTTCAAACGGGTGTTGTCACGCGCGTTCCACTGGCATTGTTATGCTCATTCGTTGCATTGTTATGCACATCTATCTAGCATTGTTATGCTCACTCGTTGCATTGTTATGTACACTTCACCTGCATCATTATGCACCTTTTCACTTACAATTCTTATCTTTCCTCTCTTGCATGTGATATGCTGAGAGGTTTTCTCTTGCGTGTGATACGCTGAGAAATTTACCTTTTCTCTCTTGCATGTGACATGCTGAGAGGTTTTCTCTTGCGTGCGATACGCTGAGAAATTTACCTTTTCTCTCTTGCATGTGATATGCTGAGAGGTTTTCTCTTGCGTGCGATACGCTGAGAAATTTACCTTTTCTCTCTTGCATGTGATATGCTGAGAGGTTTTCTCTTGCGTGCGATACGCTGAGAAATTTACCTTTTCTCTCTTGCATGTGATATGCTGAGAGGTTTTCTCTTGCGTGCGATACGCTGAGAAATTTACCTTTTCTCTCTTGCAACGTGGCTTTTCATAAGTCATCTACATATCGGCCGCAAACCAATGGAACTTGTAATAACCCGACCCTCATATCTGTTTCTAGTATATTTTCGATCTGTTATTCTGTGCATTTACTTGCTTTCTGTGAAAAGTGATTTATATCTGTGGCATTTTTATTAGTGTATTTGGAACCTCCCTATTTTATTTTGGTCTATTGATTGTGGTGGTAATATGATGGTAAAGTAAGATTGGATCAAAAATTTTAATTTGAATAATTCGTTTACGACCAACCGTCACTCTTTTTCCCTTTTCTTGTTCCACACTTGGAATTTGGATGTGAGGTTAGAACCATTGGAAAGCTTATTTTCGGGGCTTCAATTTGGGCACAAGAATGGCCTAAAACGGAGTCCGGATGAGAGAGTTACGCCTGTTTGAAGTTTTCATATCTGTGCTGGAAGCAGAACCGCACGTGCGGGAAATGGGGCGCACGTGCGGCGATGTGCGGGGCAGCAGCTCAAAAACTTGATTTTTGAGTCATTTCTTAGATTTTCTTTTCCTCTCTTCTTCTTCCCTCTTCCATGTCCGAAACCCTAGCTCCCAAAACCTTGATTTCCTCCACTTTTCTCAACAAATTAACCATGAATCTTGCATCAAGGATGGAGAATAAGAGGAGATCACCACTTTCTACCGAATGGAATTTCGAAATTTTTGAGGTATGTTGGGGTATGTTGGGGTTCTATTATGGGGTTTAGAGTATGGTTTATGGGTTATGGACCTAGGGTGCCTAATAAATGAGAAGATTTGCAATCAAAAGTAATGGGTTAAGAAGATTTAAAATTTTATTTGAAATTTGTAGATTTCTTAGAAACCCTAGGTTGGTTTTTGATGATAATCCATGATTTGGCCCAAATTGATAGTTGAATCATGAAAGTGGTAAGTTGAATTAGATGTGTTCAAGTTTAATTGGAATTTGGTTATGTTTGAAAATTATGTTTAAATTTTGCGATTGAACTTTGTTAAATGCATTGTAAATTATGTTTTAATAAAAGGGAAATTGGGGAGAAAGAAGAAGAAGCTTCCAAGGAAGAAGATTGGGAAATTAAAGGGGTTATAAAGATTTTAATGGAGGGTATGTGTAATTCATTCTTAATGGTTCCTCTCTTTGATAACTAAGTAGAAAGTTCTTTATGTTATACAAGTTAGGGTTTATGTTATGGAACAAATATGTGGTGAATGATTAATTAGAATCACGTTTTTGAAGTTTGATTGTGTAGCTAAATGATCATGTGTGTATATATAGCTATGTGTGAGAAGATAGGAATGTTATGAAGTTAAGTTGTGTTTGTGAGTTAAGATCAAAAGTCCAAATTGTATGAAGATTGATCTATGTTATAGCTCCTATTTACATGATTTTGAACCATGTTTCATCAATTAAAAGAACCTATTTTGAGCCTTGAAAAATGTATCAAAAATTGGGTTTTCTGCATTTTCGGACTGCTTTCTACCAGAATCGCCGCACGTGCGGGGCTTCTTGCCGCACGTGCGGGAAGCACTGCCGCACGTGCGGGGCTCACAGCCGCACGTGCGGCCCATGCTGCAAAAATTTGTTTGCTCGGTTTTACATGCTTAACCCTCTGGTATTTTTAGAATTTGTGTTTGATGTCCCTAAGATGCTTGTAAATTCATTCGAAGTAAACTAAAGCAGGAAAGGAATTAAGAAAGCAAAAGAACTAATGACTAACTTATGTGTATGTACAGGGCACACTCCAGGAGGGGCAAGCACTCCGTTGTAGCACTGTGAGTAGTAGTACAACAATGTACATTTTACATACTATTGACAATTATTGTCACTAATCCTCTGTTCTTTGTAAGTATTATTCAAACAATTATGACAATTGGAAAGCAATGTGAACTTATATGAACGCTGAAAGATTTGCGTACGTCGGTATGATTTTGGAATTCATATATTCCGTTAATGACGAATATTAGCCCTTTGTTATTTATCAGTATAGTATGTTATTTCTTAAAGAATAAGTGGAACTTATGTTCAGCCTTGAAGAATGATGTTGTGTGAATTTAAGATTATGTTACGAAGGGATCCAAGAACGTTTAGAATCTATGATAGGAATGTAAAGGTTTACCATTAGCATGCAACCCACATAAGAATATGAATCATTCTATTTTGTTAAGTGCATGATAATGACATGATAGAACAAGAAAAGCTTTGTTTTCTATTAACTTAATGATTATTCATATATGTAGAAGTATTCACATCATCTTTGGCACAAGGCCCTTACCCAGGGGTAATAATACCGTGGTTCAAATAATTAAGTTACAAGTTTATGTATGTTCTAAGTTTAAGTCTATTATAAGTTTACGTATGCTCTAGTCAAGAATGTTACAAGTTTATATATGTGTGACAAGTTCCAATATGTACAAGTTCAAGTAAGGTTACAAATACAAGTATATACAAGTTTAAATGTGTTACAAGTTTTCAAGTTTAAGTATGTTATAAGTCCATGTATGTTATAAATTCAAGTATATTACAAGCATACGCAAGTTATAAGTTCAAGTATGTTACAAGTTTAAGTACGATACAAGCGTAAGTATGTTACAAGCTACGTTACATGCTTATATATGTACAAGTTCAAGAGTACTATAAGTTCACAATGTTGAGGAATTTCTTTATGGAACTAACAAGAATGCTTTTTATTGATTTGCCAGCGCTATTAAAAGGCTAAGTATAAGTAAGAATGAATCCTGATTTCTGTTAATGATTCAAGCATAATGCATATGTATGAATTTATATCCGTTATGGTATGACATTTATGTATGGTGAACATGCCACTAGTATGGTATCACAAAAATATGTTTTTGTTGTAGTGTTGTGACACTTGTTCATTGAAATGTCACTAGAGCCTTTTATGTTTGTCGTTTTGTGGCATTTTTCAAAAACGTGCCACTAAATATCATTTTTGTGGCATTTTCTAAAAATATGCCAC